CAAATCTGCTTGATTCGTTTGTGTGTGAATATAGTTGATGTAAAAGATGATGACCACACATTTGCTACAAAGACCTTTGACTTTAGTATGCCAATAACGATAGTATTAGTGACCCACTCATGATATTAAGTGGAGGTATTTGCATTGATCACCATATAGTCCCACATTGCTGTTTTGAGTATCTTTCGTTTGCTTTTTTTGTTTGTTTCATATTTGGTAATGGAAGGGAAGGTGTTCTTGTACCAATTCTTGATATGGTTGACGTTACTGTGGGGCAGCTACATGGATACAGAACTTGTATTGAGAAAGAAAAGAGAGCTTTGTTGGAGTTCAAGACATACATGATCTCAATATTAGTGAAGAAGGAGAATCCGACTATGTTCTCCCTTCTTGGACTAATGACGCGAAGAGCGATTGCTGTCATTGGGAGGAAATTAAGTGCAATCGTACAAGCGGACGGGTGATCAAGATTGCCTTTGGTGGACTTTATCTTAAAGAGAGTCCTCTCCTTAATCTCTCTTTGCTGTATCCTTTTTGAAGAGGTCCAAAGTCTGAACTTATCTGGGTACGGATTCAGCGGTTTGTTTGACGATGTTGAAGGTATATTCATTCACCTAATGATTACTTTTAACTTTTCTCTGTGTGGACTAATTCTTAGTTCACTGGTTTTAATTCAAGAAAATTAAATATCTTCTGATATTACACTCATTAGATTTTCTCTGTTTCTGCATTTACTTGCTCATGTTTGTTGTGCCACTAGCATAGAGTTTCCTCTCTCAATAATCTCCATTAATGTTATAATTAATTAAGTGATTGGAGTGAGTTATGTTACTATCACTCTATGCTTAGCAAGACTCTTGTTTGCAGGTTATAAAAGCTTCACAAGATTAAGAAACTTGAAGATTATGGATCTCACTTTAAATGAATTCAACAACAGCATCTTTCCGTTTCTTAATGCTGCTACATCACTTACAACTCTTTTTCTCCGGGATAACAACATTGATGGTCTTTTACCTGGTAAATTAGCATTGCCTTTAGGCTGTATCTTTTGTTAGATTCAATTTATAGTTTTTTTTTTATTTGATCTCTTTGTATGTATTACATCCATTTTGTATCGTTCTTACAGTCACCTGGATTTCCTTTCAGAACTTAAAGATTTGACAAACTTGGAACTGCTGGATCTGAGTAGCAACAAGTTTAATGGTTCCATACCAATACAAGGTACGTAGCTCAGAATCCTTTTACATTGAGTTTGTGTCCATTAATGCTTGCCTAACTTTTTAATCTATCTTAATAGCTCCTATAACTCATTACGTACCTTTGTATGGCTTTGTCTTGCGGCAGAGTTAACTGCCCTGAAGAAGCTGAAAGTTCTGGATCTAAGCGGTAATGAGCTTTCCGGCTCAATGGAATTGAAAGGCAAGTTTACTCAAATATTTCACTTTTGTTTATGGTGAACTCTCGTCAATTAATTGACCACAACTTCTGCATTTGATCATTGTAGGGGTTTGTGAATTGAAGAATATAGAAGAGCTCGATCTCAGTAAAGACAATCTAGTAGGTCAGTTTCCTTTATGTTTAACAAGCTTGACTGGACTTAGAGTTCTTGATCTCTCGTCGAACCAACTGACTGGGAATCTACCAGCTGATCTTGGTAAACTTGAATTCCTTGAGTACTTGTCGTTGTTTGATAGCGACTTCGAAGGCTTCTTCTCATTTGGTTCGATCGCCAAACTCTCAATGCTTAAGGTGGTCAAAATTTATTCGAGATCCAACTTACTTAAAGTAGAGGTTGAAGGTTCTTGGGAGCCAAATTTTCAGTTGACTGTTATTGTACTGCGATCTTGCAAATTGGAGAAGGTTCCTCATTTCTCCTACATCAAAAGAATTTGCGTCAAGTTGATCTCTCGGAAAAAAAAATTTCCGGAAAGTTTTCTTCATGGTTGTTGGAGAACAATAGAAAACTTGAGGTTTTGCTTCTACAGAATAATTCTCTTACGAGCTTTCACCTACCGAAATCTTCTCATGGCCTGCTTTTCCTGAATTTAATCACATGTTACCAGAGAACATTGGGTGGATACTTCCTCATTTGCGGTATCTGAATCTAGCGAATAACGGCTTTCAAGGAAACTTGCCATCTTCTCTTGGTAACAATTTATCACACAACAGTTTCCAAGGGAAGCTACCAAGAAGTGTTTCAAAGGGTTGTTATTCCATGACAATCTTGAAGTTGTCACATAACAAACTATCTGGAGAGATTTTTCAAGAATCAGTACACTTTACTGATATAAATGTGTTGTCTATGGATCATAATCAGTTTACAGGAAAGATAGGACAAGGTTTGTATATGCTTGACATTTCGAACAACAATCTCACTGGTGTTATTCCAAGTTGGTTTGATGAACTTTCATCTTTATCTGCACTACTGGTTTCAAACAACTTGTTGGAAGGTGAAATACCAATTTCTTTGTTCAACATGCCTAGTCTTTGGATATTGGACCTCTCTGCAAACTTTTTATCTGGGGACATACCTCCACTTGTTAATTCTAGGACTCCTATAGTGTTACTCCTGCAAGACAATAATTTGTCAGGGGTTATTCCAGAGACATTGTTAGGAAATGTCACCATACAACAGAGTGTCGGGGGAGTATTCCGCAGTTCATCAACACCGAAAGCATCAGTATTCTTCTTCTGCGGGGGAATGATTTAATAGGCCGTATTCCTCGACAGTTGCGTGGCCTAAGAAACATACATCTTCTAGATCTTGCTAACAACAGATTGAATGGATCCATACCTTCATGTCTTAGCAATACATCATTTGGTTTGGCGAAAGAAGATGCATTCTATGGTTATGATACTGGTGTTACTTCCTCTTCCGCTGAAAATGTCCGGTTATACTTCGAATCTCTGCTTGTGCTAGATCCGTTTTAGTATGGAATATGACGTCGACACCCGGACAAAAATTGAATTTGCAACAAAGCATCGTATCGATCTCTCAGAAAATGAGCTGAGTGGTGAGATACCAGTAGAGTTTGGAGGTCTTAAGGAGCTGCAAGCTCTCAATCTTTCTCACAACAAGTTATCAGGAGTGATACCAAACAGCTTTACAGGTCTGAAGAATGTAGAAAGTCTTGATCTTTCTTTCAACAGATTACAAGGTCAGATCCCGCAAGAACTAACAGAGCTGAGCAGCCTCGCTGTCTTCAAGGTCTTATACAACAACTTATCAGGAGTCATTCCACAGGGAAGACAATTTAATACATTTGATAAACAAAGCTACTTTGGTAATCCTCTTCTCTGTGGACAACCAACCAATAAAAGTTGTGACAGTAATAACTTTCAAGAATCAGATAATGGAGTGGAACCTGATGAATCCATACTCGATATGGTTTCTTTCTACTGGAGTTTTGCTTCAGCCTACGTGACAATACTTCTTGGGATACTTGCATCTCTCTCATTTCATTCTCCTTGGAGCAGGTTTTGGTTCTACACCGTTGATGATTTCATCCACAAGGTTAAGAATTCGTTATGGTAAAACACTGCAGGTGCCAAATGCTTCTTATGTTTGGTTCTTCTGTGCTGTCTTTGTCTGTGAATAAATGTAATGCCTAAAACATATCTTGGAGCTGGTTTGGTTGTTGGTTCAATGCATAATCTACTGAAATACAAGAACTTGCTTGAAACAATCTCAAAGTAGAAAAGAGTACACAGACCCAAAAATGAAAATAAAAACAGAGAATTTCCCATTAGTTCTCTTTCTTCTTTTATGAATTCTCTTAATTTATACCGCTTTACAGTTTTTCTTTTGGATAACCATCTCAAGAACTTTAGTTATTACATAACACATCATATGATTATCATCCTGCTGTAGAATAATACAGAAGAACCAAAAACGAGCATATGAATCAGCAGACCTAAAGAAAGACCAGAGAGTAACATAGACACAGTTAAAGAGTTAGAGAAGGAAAGAGAAACCACTTGTATATTTAGTCTTTTTCTCAACAGACTTAACTACTGGCCTGCAAAAAGCGTTCTTCGCCTTCCTGACTTTGCTTGCACACGGTTAGTCTCCGCATGAACGATCTCATTCACCAGATCCTTGAAGATAAGCCTCTCTACATCCAGCACCAATCCTGAGATTTCTCCATTGAAGTCTACCCAGTTCCCGGACCGAACCATCACATCTTCAGCAAGTACGCTTCTCAGGAAGTCGTCTTCTTCCTCCAACAAGAAGTTTTCTGATCTCTTTGTGGCTTGCTTTTGCATTGTTTCTATTGTTGAACACAGTTCTTTTAGTAGCTGTTGCGCACTCATGGCTTTCTTTGTCATCTTAGCAGATGACTTCATCAATGGATTCATCGTGGCTTCAACCGATGCTAGTTTCTCCACAAGAATTTCATTAACAGTGTCAAACACAAGTTTGCGGTTGAGTTTCTCCTTGTTCAGAACCTTGCTTTCTTCTTTGTGTAACAGATGCATAGTGCTGCTTCCCATTGTCTGCTCAAGAACAAAGAACAGCTCTGGGTTGATCGGGTAGCCTGAAGGGTGTAGTTGAAACGTTGTTAATCCTGAGCCAAGATCTCGAAGGAGAAGACCTGAGGCTAATAGAATCTCTGAGATATATCTGTGATCGGTGTTAGGATCTGCGTTCTCACAGAGCGATGCAATGTAATCTTGGTTGGCTTCATCATGGCTAGAGTTCAATCGTCTGAGCTTTTGAACCAAGTGCTCAACATTCTGAAGCTTCTTGCGGTTTATCTCTGGCGAAAAGCTTGATGTGGTTTCTGAGAAACTGTAAGCTGGATTCCACTGGTCCTCACAATGTTCATCACCAGAGTCATGGGCAACATTTCCTATCACATGATCAGTTCTGAATCAGAAATGGAAGGAAACTAAACATCCAATCTTTGCATTGAAAAAAATTGTAAAAGGCAAAACTTTCCCAAACAAGCAAACTAAAGACAGATGTAAGAGTTTGAAACCCCTGGTCATAGGATCTTAAAGTGACTTTGATGTTTTCTGTTTTTATCAATGCCAATATTTCCAGTGTTGATGACCATGAGAACACTAGAGATAGAATCAATTTGCTACCTTGTGTCTTCACAGGAGATGGTTCAATCTCTCTGTAAATTGAGCCGTCGAGAACAGAAATAGGACTTGGATGCTCTAAAGCAACAAGTGAAAGGTTTGCTGACGATCCATCTTCACTAAACCTTGGACTGGATTTCTGAAAACACAAACAAACTTGTGAGAATTATTAACTCAGAATCTTTTCAAACCAAACACTTGAGAAATACCAATGAGGCACAGAACTCACATTCTGCATTAAGTTAGAGACTACAGCTTTGGCTGCCTCTATTACAGATGGACTTTTACCACCA